TTGCATTTTGATACTTCCCTAATAGCACACAAAGGTCTATTGGTGTTTTACAAACATTAAAATCCCATACACAAACAATAAAATACCCAAATAATACATGAAATGCTAAAAACAACCAAGGAGCAATAATTCCATATAAACATTTAACCCTGCTATATAGCAGCAACAATAACAATATTACAATTTAAATTTTTCATCCTTTAGTTTTTAAATCTGGTGAATAAAAATATTTTCACCTGGAATCTCTCTGGAGAGCATTTTCCATAGATGAGGTGCCACTACAGAAAAGGCCCTTCTCCTCCTTACTTCTTTAGAGGGATCTGTAGCCAATTTTAATGGATGGGTAGGAACATATATATGTTCATACTATATGGATGTGAAAGCTGAACAGTGAAAGAAGCTGGCAGGAAGAAAATTGATGAGTTTGAAAAATGGTTCTGGAAGAGAGTTTCTGAATACCTTTGATTAGCAGAAAGATGAACAGGCAGGTCTTGGTCAAATCAAGCCAGAACTTTCCCTGGTAGCTAAAATGATGAAACTTGGGCTGTCCCAATTCAGGCACAAAGTGAAAAGGAAGAACTAACAAGAGAAGACAATCATGCTAGAGACAATGAAAAGCAGAATAAGAGGAAGACCAACTATGGGATAGATCGATTCCATAGGGGAAGCCACAGCCTTGAGTTTACAAGAGCTGAGCATGGTCATCAAGGAAATTTTGGAGGGCACCCATTCATAGTGTTGCTGTAAGTCAGAGATGACAGCACTTAAGAACAACAGAACAAGGTGAAGTGAACTAACGGCAGAAAACATTTACCAATAAATTTATATTGTTATGCCCTTATCTGTTATTTCTGACCTACTGCATACATCAGTAGGGACAATGAAAAATGTGATGACTGATGAAGTAGCAGTTAGGTTATATGTATCACCTTCCATTTTTGAAAAGTTTGCTTTGGCATCTATGGCCTTGTTCACACATGCAGGGTGTACATTGGAACAGGCAGACTTCAAGCTTGCAGGATGCTATGTCCTGTTTACAAGATCTACCAGTTGGGGTCTAGTGAGGAAGTTACGTCTAAATTGCAGGCTTCTGAGTCCAGGGATTTGCTTCAAGAACTAAAACTGAGTAGTGACCAGAGTCCTTCTACACAAAACCCCACATACAGTCACCCAAAGATTTCTTTAGTTCCACAGTATAATTTTGAGCAAAAACACAGAATGGGATTCATTTGATTGCTAATATTAAATAAATGAGTCAGAAATCCTTCCTGATCTTCCGGAAATCACTGTATCAGTAGGTCCAAATCTCCCTTTTTCCCTGCCCCTCCAAGAAGCCTCAAGGTATACTACTTGGTAACTTTTAAGCAAAGCTTGACTGGAATTGAGCATTGAAAAATAGTAAGCAAATAGTGGACATGCTTTCCAGTTCTATCTCCCTGTTTGGAATGGAAGTATTTCTATTTATTCTGGAAGACAGTACAGGGAGTTGTGGCATAGTCCATGGAGAGAAGCAACAGCCCTGGGGGGCGGTGGGTGTTTTAAGTTTATTGTGGGGATGAGGAACCCCAGAGGTCCAGTTGTCCAAACAGTGGGAATTTTTGCCATCCCCTACATTAAGAAAACTAAGATCATGACATCTGGTCCTCTCACTTCCTGGCAAATAGATGGGGAAGAAATGGAGGTAGTGACAGATTTTATTTTCCTGGGCTCCAAGATCACCACAGATGGGAACTGCAGCCAAGAAATTAAAAGACGTTTGCTCCTGGGGAGGAAAGCTGTAGCAAATCTAGACAACATACTAAAAAGCAGAGACATCACCCTGCCAACAAAAGTGCGTATAGTCAAGGCTATGTTTTTCCCAGTTGCAATGTATGGCTGTAAAAGCTGGACCATAAGGAAGGCTGAATGCCAAAGGATTGAGGCCTTTGAATTGTGGTGCTGGAGGAGACTCCTGCGAGTCCCTTGGACTGCAAGGCGATCAAATCAGTCAGTCCTAGAGGAGATCAACTCTGACTGCTCTTTAGAAGGTCGGATACTGAAGATGATATTCAAATACGTTAGCAACCTAATGAGAAGGAAGGACTCCCTGGAGAAGAGTCTAATGCTGGGAACAATAGATGGCAAAAGATGAAGGGGATGGCAGAGGATGAGGTGGCTAGATGGAGTCACTGAAGCAGTTGGTGTGAGCTTAAGTGGACTCCGGGGGTTGGTGGAGGACAGGAAGGCCTGGAGGAATGTTGTCCATGGGGTCGTGATGGGTCGGACACGACTTCATGACTAACAACAACAACATGCTTCCACTTTAGTGTGGGGATGAGTAAGCAAGCATTTAATGCCAGATTTGGAGCAGGAGTAGAGAGCCTTCATTTACTCACTTAAGACCTCCTGAGTGATCGCCTCCCACCCTGCTTTCAGCAAACCGCACGTTCCCCCTATCTGCTGCCAAGACCATGCCTGGCTTACACAGTTGAACCTTCTCAGCAGCCCTGGGAGGAGTGCCAGTGAGAGGCAATGTGGAAGGACTAGCCTTGCCTCCAGCACGTAATGACTGCTTGAATTTGCCCTCAGATTACATCAAAATCACTCCAAATTCAGGGGTTACATTAGGGAAAGCAAATTGCATATACTGCAGAAGGGCATAATCTCTAGGAACTTCCCATCTAAAACACTGCACCTGAAGGAGTGTCTCTTTCGACATCTCCCTAACCAAATCCTAAAGTTATTGCTGAAAGCCCTTCTGTAGGTGACCAGGGCAAATGAGGTAAGGTGGGTACCAAGGATGGCATCCTACTTGGGGAATGCTCTTTCCAGAGAGATGTGGCCAATGTCTACATTGGGGCTTTTCTTGGCATCAGCTGAAGACATTTTATTCAGCTAGACATTTAATGCTTAGCATTTCTATAGCTTTACAGTTTTATTGTACTGGTGCTATTTTATGCATATTTTGTTTTATTCTTTGCTGCTGATTAATTTTATTCTGTTGTGTTCATCATTACTGTGTTATATTTTATGTTCTTAAGTTACTAGTATACGGCCAAAAGAATTGGACAATCTAAGGTGTAATAAATAAATATATAAATCTCCTTTGTACCCAAAGTAAGGGCTCTGAAAGTCATGAGTTACTACTTCATTACCACTACATTTTCAACTTTAATTGGTTCTCAAATCTGGTTGTAGAAACCCAGGGGAGTCTACTTCTATTTTGGAAATCAGGCTAAGGTCTTAAAGAAGTTACATGATCACCTCTGGGGCCTTGGAGCTGTATTTATTTGAGTTAGTGGGCTTTTGCTCTTGTGTCCATATTCCTACTCCGTTTCTCTTCCTTCCGTCCTTCCTTCCTTCCTTCCTTCCTTCCTTCCTTCCTTCCTTCCTTCCTTCCAATGTTACAAGATTTTTTTTTTATTTTTATTTGAATGATTCAGGAAAAGCTAGCATTTTCCATTTCATGAAGCTTCCCAACGGTGTTTCTCTTGTTTTCTGAGGGTTCCAGATAATTTTATGGTTTTTATTTTTCAAAAGAAGACATCCTTATCCGAACATACTGATCTTAACATACAGATATTAGCATGTTAGATATTTGAAAAACATCACGGTACTCTGTGTAGGAGCTCTGGATACCTGAAGGAGCACCTTCTTCCCTATGTGCTCATCCGCCCCTTGAAATCTGAGGCAGAGGTCCTTCTCTGGGAAACCTCTTAGACAGTGCTTTTTTTGTAAGAAAAAAGGTGCCGGAACTCATGGAATTATTTATCTTCCGCACGTAGTCAATCACTGTACACACACTCACACATGTCAGTAGTGTAACGAAACATAATGGTTGCCGCATTCAGTAAGCACTCAGCGGGCGACCACATGACCATTCACAAGCCGAGCAGCGCCACAAGCCGAGCAGCACCATCACAACCAGCGCGGAAGAAGTCCGCATGCATCTGATTTGACACACAAGCAGCCTGCATGCACCGTTTGAATGATTTTGCCACTGACCTGCTACACTCGACAGGGCGATTCAAATCCACATGGACCAAACATCAAATTTTCAAAAGTTATTTTAAAAACTTGGAAAATCTGTTGAAAAAAGGTGCCAGAACTCCGTTCCAGTGCGTTCTATGACAAAAAAAGCACTGCTCTTAGAAGTAAATTCGGAGGGTAGCTACTCGAAGGGCCTTCTCAGGGGTAGCACCCCAATTGTGGAGCACGTTCCCCAGGGACATTTGCCTGGTGCTGTCACTTTTTTTCGGCGTCAGGCAAAGACCTTTTTATTTTCCCAGTATTATAACTATTAATTGGTTTTATCCTTGTTTTTATCATTGTTTATAGGATGCAATGTGTTGTGTGTTGTTGTTATGGTTTCTTTCTTTCTTTCTTTCTTTCTTTCTTTCTTTCTTTCTTTCTTTCTTTTGTGTTCTTTGTAAGCTGTCCAGAGACTTTTAGTAATGGGACAGCATATAAAAACTTTAAATTAATTAATTAATTAGTTAAACTTGTGTCCTTCATTTCAGTGGGTTGATTCTTTTAATAGAAATTTTATTAGGATTTTAAAAATAAATCTACAAACAACAATCATCGCACACACCGGATTTACTGGATCAGCCCCCTACTACATATCTTTTAACATCCTATGATCATACTAGAATCCATTTATAGTAACTTGAAAGCATCATTGGATCAAAACCAGGTCCCGTTTCTCCAGCCAATAAAATAATAATAATGATAATAATCCAAATTTGATAGAAGTCACTATCTTCCTCTTCTTCATCCATGAAATCAGTCTCATTATTTCCTACCAAGTCCTGTTTCTCTTAAGCAATGTCAAAGGGAAGCATCTCCAAATTAAATGAAATTGAAATATTCTCTTTCTCCTTCAATGGTAAGTTTGATCTAAACATTTCTGGACAGTTCAAAATCTTTTCCATTTTCTAATAGTAAATAACTTCCTCACTACAACAATTACACATAAACATCAAAAATATCCATTTAACATCTCTACAATTACCTTAACTACTCTACTTGGTGATGAGTAATACTTATAATATCTTTTAGAACATTTTTCTTTAAGCTAAATTACTAATGTTTCATCTCACTTAAACATCATTGAATCAAATATGGTTAGCACCTTATAAAAGCCCAGGTGTTTACAGTCTAACATATATCATCAACAACAAAAGCTTATTAGAAATACAGTCAAAAATATCCATTTAACAATAATACCTTTTAAACAGGATTTCATTAAGCTAAATTGCTAGTATTTCACCAGCAATAATAGCTTAGCCTTTCTACATCTCATGTAAGCATATCAAGCTATATAAATCACACTTTTTTTGGAATAGAAAGAAAGAAATTTCCCTTATCTTCCCTTTGCACCCCTGCCAAGTTTACTTTTTCTTTACCCCTCTACCAGACCTTTCTGTTTTTTTCCCATTAAACCACCGTAATGTCTGTAATGGAGTCTTCAGTTGCAGCCACATAAACATAATATCTTTTAAGTGGTCAGCTAAATTGTCCTTCTCTAAGATGACACGCAGATCCCATGGAAGTTTGCTTTGTAATGTCTGTGTCTTCAGTTGTGGCCAAGCTGTCTTATCCTTTTCCATCATAGCACGCAGAACAGTTGCACTTATTTTCTTTCCAGTTTCAGATTTTCCTTCTGCTTGTTGGATATTTTGCATATTCTGTTCTGGTGTGAGTTGCTTATCTAAAGCCTGATCAATAGAAGTGCTTAATTTATCAAAGCCACTTTTTTGTTCAGTTGAAAAACAATCAAGTCGCTCTAGAACAATCTTCTGTCGTATTATTATCGCCTGTTGGGATAGTTGCACAGCTGTTAAAGAAGCCTGTATTTTGAAAAATGCCTTCCAAATTTCTTCCATAATAGCAATAGATTAGTAAGGCTTGGCAGGTATCCAAAGATCCCCAGAACAAAGAGAAAAATGGTTGCCAATTCTTGGCAGCAGTCCAACACTCTATTACTCAGTTCCACAGCACAATTATTCGCCCTTGGAGAGATAAAAGACGATAAATCTTTTCCTTACTTACAAAAAGTTCTGTCTTTCCATTATGCAATTCGCCGCTTTTCAACTCCATGGGGGGGGGAGTTTCATTCCCCCCCATCCGAAGGGCTTTTTAATTAGCAAAAATACAGCTTATTCCACGGGTATCATTGCAAAGAAAGGAAACAAAAATGCGTTCCAATAGATCTGGTGTGTTCACAGAAGCTAAAACAAAACTAAAAAAAGTAGTATGTTGAGAATTTGTAGAGGGCAGCTCTCCCTCCGGTAATACCCAGCTGAGAAAACTTGATTTCCTCCCAGTAAATGTGGAATTGCCAGTTCCACATCATCTGGGGGATTTGCCAAGCAATCTATCTCAGCTCCTACAGAGCTTAGATTGAGCCCCACGGCCCACGACTGGGCAATTACCAGCGTGATAACGGAGATTCGTTAATCACGTCTGTATCTTTCCGATGCCATACTTCTTCTCCAGTTGATTCTAAATAAGGTTAACACTGGATACAAACTTGTGCTTTTGTGTGTGTGCATGTGTGCACGGGCGTGCTCTGCACTGTAATGACTTTGTTGTTGAGTGATTTTCATGTGTTTGTTTCAAATAGTATGGCAGGGTTCCCTCTATTAATTTTGCCTGTTTTGCTATGTCTTGTTTGTACTAACTGTGAAATAGATATAATTTAGTTTAAAGCACTATTATGTGCAACTGCAGACTTTCTTTAATGACCGAGAGAATTTGTTGATCTTAAGAATGCCAAAAAGTAATGATGTAAGCATTTCCAGGGCATTTTGGGCCAGATATATGTCGTTCTTCAGGGAACGCTATTTAATCCGCAAATACAATAATATGGACTCTAAGCATGTGTTTGTATTTTAAAAATATGTACATATGACATAATAGCAAAAATATAAACAATTGCAGCCAGTGCGGTGTTGTGGTGAAGAGCGCAGGACTGGGACTCGGGTGATTTGGGTTCTTGTCAGCAATCAGCCATGGAGCTCACTGGGTGACTTTGGGTCAATCACAGACACTCAGCCTACCTCACAGGGTTGTTGTTAGGATAAGGTTGAGCAGTGAAGGGGATTTATGTAAACCTTGAGTTACTTGAAAGAAAAAATGGTGGGACATAAATATAATAAATAAATAAACATTTTGAAAATACAGGGACACATTTCAAGTCTGCAGTATAAAGTTTGCACATATAGATTATATGTAATCTACCTATCTGTCTGTCTGTCTATCCTGCCCCCAAGAAAGATAGGATTGTTGGTCTAAAATGTGTTGATATTGTTTATTTTATGGAATAAAACATCTTATGATCACCCCATTTATTTTTGGTATCCTTTGTGGGTTTTCCATTTTGTTGGATTCTGTGAATTTAAGATGGGTACAAGAAGGTTTTCCATTATCCATGGCTGGCATGAGTGGTTTTTTGTGCATGCTTATTGTTGCTGCAGAGAAAAGAATAACATAACATACTGGCCACCAAGGTCTAGTCTGAATCCCTTACAAAAAAAGCAGAATATCTGTATAGGAAGAAACTGGACACAGTAGCACACAGCATAAAAAAAGCTGGGAACTACTCACTTTTAGTGACATGCAAAAATTATAGTGCCAACATTTCACTGATCTATAAATGCTACTATATTTAATCATTTTTATTTCAAAACTATTTTCTAGACACATTTATTGACTTTTTTCTATTATCCTCACCTGTGAATATTAATCAAATATTTAAACAGATAGACAATACTCTTCATAATTACATCAGCTATTGCAAGACCATTGCATCAAAGTTTGTGCTGATATCAGAAATAATATCATTATTAATCTTCAGTTGCATTTAACTATATTTGGAAGAAATCACTCAAAGCAATACTCCTGTTGGAAAATACCAAGTCCCTGGCTAAAATTAGCACAGCTATGAGAGCTTCAAGTGGGCCTTTCATTTTAATTAATATTTCATAGCAGTTCCTAGCTGATGAAGAAAGCAAGGCTTCTATTCATAAAGATCCTGACATTCTGCCACAAAAAGTTGGTTTATTGAGCACAGAGGAAAAAATTTGGAATGTAACTTTCCAGCAGGAATGCATATTATTTTTATTTAATTCATAAATGCCTTTTTACCCCATTGACTACAGGTTAACTTTTTCTGCTTACTACTGATGCTGTGGGGATAGGAAGGAGTCACTTGTCAAAAGAAACAGAAAAGAGACTGCCATTTTTAAGTGCTTATTAAAATATATTCAGAAAACACTGTCACAATTATGTCAGGGCAAAGTAGGATAAGCCCAGACAATTTACTTTTAACAAAACCTGAGTGAGGTAAACCAGCTTGTAATAGGCTATTGCACACAAGGCCACTCAATATGGCATCACAAAATCAATAAAAAATATTTTTAAATAAGGAAGATACGGACCAGATAAGATTACTTTCTAATAATGTGCAATATCTATGGGGCACCTAAGAAACTAGGAATTGTAAAAGGGCCTTTACTTACTCTCAGGTCAGGACAAGACCATAAATCCTGATTGGTTTTATTACCAGCTTCTGCCAAAGAATCCTGGGAATTGTAGTGCAGTGAGAGTGCTGATTTATTTTCTGCTAATACTGCCTTCTGCAGAACTGTAATTCCAGGGCTTCCTGGAGAAGGCCATCTATTAAGCCAGTTGAAGTCTGTGGTGAAAATGTGTGTTCATATCCAATAACTCTGAAATGCAGGAAATATGAGAAAATGAAATACCTTTAAAAGGTGTGCTGGTAGGAAATAAGCAGGAACCCTGCTCCCACTACTGGATATGCTAGGGCAGCTGAAAGACAAATGAAATCTGAACATGTGGAGTGTCCCATCAGGAGAGGCACAGTTCTGTAACAAGCAGTAATGTCAGTTTGTATGAAACTCTTGATAGTTCAGTAATGACGACCTTTTCTTCTTTCAGCAGCTAACCATGAATAAGCACCATTTCATCATAAAACAAGTGTGCTATGCCAACTGGGCTTCTTGTGGAAAAGAAGCTGGGATGGAGGATAATTTGAAACAGATAATTTTGTCTGTCAGATACCTGAAACATGGCCAATTAATCAGACTTCCTAGCTTTTCTAGTGTGGGAGTTCTTTCATAGTTTAAGGATACAATCCAATGCATGTTTAGACAGCAAGCTGCAGGACGTCTTACTGTCTACACATGCATAAGTTAGAGGATTTTTTTTGTCCAAACATGCATAGGATTGTGCACTAAGACAGGCAGTGGCAGTGGGACTGGAGAAGAAACAAAATTCCTACAGTGAAAAAAGGGCCCAAGCAAGTTTTTCCTAAAAATCTCTCTCCACCCCAACTGCCTCAAGCTATCTCCACCAGCTCCCCAGACCAAGTGATTTAGCCGTATTCTATTTCTTCCAGAGAAGTCAAACATCCCTCTATTTCAATAAAAACTCCCTGTGCCCAATGGAATTTGAGAGGAGACAGGGTATGAAAATTATCCATGTTCATGCTCAGTTATTGCTTTACTAACACCTGCAAATGTGCACTTTGTTGCCCACAATTCCCATCATCCCTTACCATTGGCTGCGCTGGTTAGTGATGATGAAAATAGTAGGCAAAACATCCTGATGGCCACCAGTTGTCCACCGGCTTTTTTTTTGTCATAGAACGCACCGGAACAGCATTTCGGCACCTTTTGGATTTTTCGAAGTGAACGGAGGAGCAGATCAGCAGCAAACATCATTAACATAGTGCCTGCAGGCTGCTATTGTGTCTGAGATCTGCTATCTGATAGTGAGAGATAGCTGCTTGGGACGCTGCTCGGCTTGGGATTGGTGTGTGTGCTTACTGCTGGCAGGGACGTGAGTTCCGGCACCTTTTTTTTTTAACAAAAAAAGCACTGCTTGCAGTAATTTGCTCTTACAAGTTCCCAGGGCCACTGCCTTTCTCCTGAGTTTGTGCAAATTGCAGGATATCAACAGGTGTATTCAGCTAAGACCATACATTTCATCTTACGAAGATTGAAATTCTGAGGCATTTCTCAGTCTTGGAATATGTAACTTTTAAAGTTAGTGAGCAATAGTCCTTGGCTGTGAATGTTCAAAATGAGAAAGCATTTAAGAACAGTAATACGTAGATGTCAGGCAAGTATCTTTGAGGGCACATGTATATCCAGAAAAAGGTCCTTAACTCTCAACCATACTGAGTTTCCTTCTGTCTAAACTTCCTTCAGGCGCAATCCTATGGCATTTAGCCAGAAAAAGAGGTACAATTTCCAGCATGCCCCAGGTAGCAAAGGTTATGTCATGCTATGCTAGTTGCATCCAACCCATCGCGACTCCCATGGACAACACTCCTCCAGACCTTCCTGTGCTCCACCATTCTCAGGAGTCCACCTAAGCTCATGACTGCTTCAGTGACTCCATCCAGCCACCTCATCCTCTGCTGCCCCTTCTTCTTTTGCAGTCCATCCTCCCCAGCATTAGGCTCTTCTCCAGGGAGTCCTTCCTTCTCATTAGGTGGCCAAAGTATTTGAGTTGCATCTTCAGGATCTGGCCTTCTAAAGAGCAGTCAGGGTTGATCTCCTTAGGACTGACCGGTTTGATCGCCTTGCAGTCCAAGGGACTTGCAGGAGTCTTCTCCAGCACCACATTACTATTTCCAGATTTATAGGCACCTCCCAGAGTTTATTTCCTCAAATAAACAAATACACATGCAGGCAGAGGAGCACAAACGGCAACTACCATGCCCACCTCCCCATTTTCCCCCTCCAAAATGTGGCACTCCAGAAGAAGCAAGCAGGTCCACGACAGCGTTTCGGTGCTTGCTCGAAGGGCTAAACTGGCGACCCGGTATGTCAGTTTCCAGTGCTAAGTTTCAGCTTTGAAACGAATTAAGAAAAAAGAAGCAGGTTGCCTCTGAGCATATGCCAAGTGCACAGGGCTGCTCTCATGAGTGAAGGAGGAATGCGTCCTGGCAGCCCTCCGCCCAGCTGAAGCGAGCACAGGCCATCCGCTTGGCGCCTCCAGCAGCTTCGCCTCCGCTCCAGCCACCCTCTTACCTGCCCTTCTCCCCGCCCGCCATGCGCGATTGCCGCTGCCGCCCGTCTCCTTCTCGCCTCCCCTCCCGGCCCTGCTGCATTGTGGTCCGGCCCGGCCGGCGGCGGCGGCGGCGGCAGCAGCGACAGCGGTAGCGTAAAGCCGGGCGAAGATGGCTGAGAAGCCGCCGCAGAAGCACGACGGGCGGGTGAAGATCGGCCACTACGTGCTGGGCGACACTCTGGGCGTGGGCACCTTCGGCAAAGTCAAGAGCTGAGTATGGGGCGGGGGGCGCCGGGCGTGGGCTGGAGCTGCCGGGGCAGGCAAGGCGGGAGGGTGGTGGATGGAGGGTCCCTACCGCCGGTGGATGATCGCCCGGCCACCCGCCCGCCGGCTCGCCGCGGAGAGCGAGCGGGCGAGCTTTTCCAAAGCATGAACTAGATCGCAGGCGGGCAGCCGCCCAGCACCCGCGGGTGCGCATTCTCCATCCTCGCACACGCACCCCGCAATGGGGCAGTGCTTCGAAAAGAGCCCCCTTCGGTGCAAACGCCCTTATTACAGCGCTCAGGAAAAGACCGAGCTTCTCCACACGGTCTCAGCCTCCCCTCCATGCTGTTCAGCCACACTGATGTGCTGCTGTCACACACAAAAACGAGGCGCTCGCTGCAACACGCCCGCACGCACGCACGCCAGGCCTTTTGGCTTCCCTCGCTCCGCACGAACCTTCGGAAAGAGTAAAGCAAAAAAAGATGCTGTGGAGCTATGCTACACTATGGGGGGCAAATTTGTGTTTGAGTGAGAGGGAAAAAAGGAAGTGGGATTCTTGACTGCGGATTTGTAAGAAGGTTCTATTCAAACTGGGTTTGAAGAGAAGGCTTGAACTAAGAAGCAATTGGTGTCATGCCAAGCAGATATCTTGCAAATCCTATTTTCGTGCTTTTGGTACATGGGCCCCACATGCTTTACATGCTCAGGTGATGATTATTCATTTATTATTTTGTGAGAGCACAGGCCCCTGCCCTGATAAGTATATATCAAACTTGACATTGAGGGGAACAGCCCAAGGTAATGAGAGACAAGCATAACAAAACACAACTGTGTTACATGGTTAGGACATGAGGCCTTTCCTTATGACCTTTCCTTTGGGGGCCAGATCTCTCTCTCACACACACACACACGCACAGTGTATGCAAGTGCAACTCTTCCTGACATCTTGATCTCATGCAAATATGTACTACTGTGCATCAGGTAACTTCTATACCTAGAGCTGTGGCATAGTATCGCCTCCTAAGAGTTTCATTCCAAGTTGCAAAAAGGGACCAAGATATTGGCGGGTTGCCACTGTCAATGCTTTCCTGAAGAAAATGTCATCCATACATCAGCTTGATTCTCTACAAAGCCATAGAGAATTCTCCTTTTAATGCAGTGACTGTGCATTCTCCACACAGCACAATCCAGCACATACTTACTCAGAGGCAGAAATGAGCCCCATTCTGTCCAGTTGGACTTACTCTCAGGCAAGCATGCATCGGATAGCTAAAATACTTATTATTGCATTTTTTATCCTTCCTGTTCTTTCAAGGAGCTTTGAGTGACATACATCTTGTCTTCCCCACAACCCTGCAAGATTGATTATGTTGACTGGCCCAGTGTCATCCACTGAAAATCTTTGTTGTACATTGTTTGGTACCTGCGTTTCTCCAGATTAAGTCCCGCGTTGTGGAATGCAGCACACTGGTTCTCAAATCATGTTTCCCACCTCTGCTCACATCCTATCAATATTATATCTTTTTTCATTACCACTTTATAAATTAAGTCCAGGCTTGTAATTGGTCATTTTCTGGTCACTTAAAGAATGCTGATCAGGCAGGAAAGCTTTTGATTCTTTGCTCATATCTCAGCCTTTACAACATGATCCTATCAACATAAATTGAAAGTTAGTCCCACTAATGTCATTGAGGCATATTCTCGAGTAACACTGCAGTCCTGTATATGTTTATTCAGATGTAAGTCCCATTCAATTCAGTGGGGCTTACTCTCAGTTAAATAGGTATAGGATTGCAGCCTAGAGATTTATAGGATAGTACTCCCTTCATTTATCAGGGTACTGGATGTCAAAGAAATCCACAATGATAATTGACTTATGTATACCCAGCCTGTGCATTCTGTGCAATCTGTGTAGCAGGTCTGCTTTTTCCAAGTTGTATGGCAACTGAAGATTTGTGGCTTGTGTATTTTTTATTCTTTATGGGCTTTTACACAAACACATATTAATACAGATGTACGTGTGCAAAGTGGAATGGAATCCTTAAACATGTGTAGACCGCAATAATACATCCTTGAAAAAATAAAATCCCATTCCATCAATGTGTGGATGCCTGAAAATTCAGAAAACACAAAAGGAACAGATTTAACAAAATATATGCATCCTTAGCTGCAAATTATTAACATGTGGGCTTGTAGAGTAATAAAACATTGTCTGGGTTAGTAACTTACTTGGGAATTATTTGAAAAGCTGAACATGGTATTTTAGTGTGTGTAAGATGTTAGAAAGTAGCACACTACTAACATTTAAGTTCTCTTCTAACGAGTTGATACCTTGAGAAGCTCCCTCCCAATCCTAACTAAAGCTAGTTCCTTGAGGTTTCAGTGTGCAGGTCTGATGCCATTCAATAAACAACAACATTGTAAAACACTGTCACATGCTGAATAGTTTCAGAAATATGCTACCTCTCCTTAGCTTTCTGGAGCTAAAGAGCTTGAATTAACTATTTGTTGCTGTTGCTAGTCGCAAAGTTGTGTCCGACCCATCGCGACCCCGTGGACAACTTTCCTTCAGGCCTTCCTGCCCTCCACCATCCCCCAGAGTCCACTTAAGCTCACACCGACTGCTTCAGTGACTCCATCTGTACAACCTAACAAATAATATCCTCTCACTTGTGTTGGTCTCTCTGGACATTCAACCAGACTTAACAAGTCCCAAGGGGGTGAAACACTAATATCTCTGTATCTGTTGCTTGCTTTAAGCAATTGATGGATTACAAGGCAGACTGTTTATTATTAATTATTAATCTATCAACAACACTAAAAGGAAAAAGAAATAAAGAGACCAATCTTTTATAGATGATGCATCGAAGACAGTAGCAGTTTGATATTTGTTTGCTTTCCAGCAAAAAAAGTTTGCTTTCTAGGTTGGAATTTGCTCTCTTCTCTTCTCCTCCTTCTTTAATGAACTACAGGAGCAAGAGAAGAGAGTTGTCCTCAAGATCATAGAATAAAACATAATCATTCTAGGGTATTGAAGGGTCTAGTAATGTTATCAAAACCCACAAAGAGCCCACAACTCTTTCCATTTCTTCCATGTCCATGTGGAAAGTTTTGGTTTCATTGGTAGAGAAGACATGGAAAAGGTAACATGATCAGAGGATGTTGATAGACTAGAGAAAGGAGAATTGTATATAACTGAAGAGGGTAATTCCTCTGAAGTTTATACCCACTCTCTTCATAACCTGCTGCTTTGTGATCACATGCATATCTTCTTCCTTGCTTAGTTATTCCTGAAATATCTAGGCTCCAGGATGATGAGCCATAGCCCTGAACCATTGTGGGAAAATGCAAGCTGCAGTTAAACCTGCACACCCTCCAAAGGTGCTGTGGAATGCAGTGTTGCTCTTCAGGGTGTTCAGCTTGTGTTCAGAAATAGTTGGAATAACATCAAATATGTCACAGTGTACCTTTAGCTCCAGTAACCAAACTCACGCACTTGCTTAATATTTCTGCGGGTGTGAGAGAGCTGTATTTGCCAAGATTTCCTCTCCTGTACAATTGTTTAAAGGACAAAGTCATGTGCTGCTTTGCATGTAATCACCCAAAGCATAAAAAGTTATGTGATTTACAGAAGTAGATTAATGGACATGCAAAAAAAGAAGACTTGTGGCATCTTAGAGACTTAATATTGCCTGTTTCACCAACCTTCTTAGGCTAAGGACCATGAAAGCTTTTTGCATAATCATCTTGTTAAGTGTCAGTCAATCTTTGGCCAAGTTTGCATGTAATACAGACTCATGGTTTATTTAACCTGTGGTTTATAGGATCATAGATTCATTGAATAGTAGGTTGGAAGGGGCCAAGAAGGCCATTGGGTCCAAACCCCTACTGGTGCAGGATGCCATGTCAAACCAACCACTCTGATGACTGTACAGTTTTGCCTTGAATATCTCTAGGATGGGAGAGCCCACAACTTCTCTTGGCAACCAGTTCCACGGTCATATTGCTCTGACAGTTAGGAAGTTTCTCCTGGTGTCTACCTTGAATCTGATCTGCTACAGTGTTCATTGTTCTGTTCATAAGTTCATTGTTACTAGTCAGGGTGTTCAGCTTGTGTTCAGAAGTAGTTAGAATAACATCGAGTGTGTCACAGCGTACCTTCAGCTCCAGCAACCAAACTCACTCACTTGTTTAATATTGCTGAGATGGGTGAGGGTGAGTGAGAGGAGGTCTTTTCCTTCCTCTTTGTGACAGCCTATGTGGTACTTGTAGAGTGCTATCATATCCCCTTGTAGTCTTTTCTTCTAAAGGCTAAACACACCCAGCTCTCTCAGCCTTTCATCATAGTGTTTAGTTTCCAGATCCTGGATAATCTTTGTTGCTCTCCTATGAACTTTTTCTAATTTTTCTGCATGTTTTTAAAACTTGGGTATCCAGAACTGAACATAGTATTCCAGGTGAGGGCTGACTATTGCAGGGTACAAGGGAACTAGTACCTCTTATGCTCTGAAAGTGATGCTTCTGTTTATGCATCACCAAATAGTATTTGACCTTTCTGCGGCTGCATTGCATTGCTGGCTCATATTTAGCTTACTGTCTACAACAACTCCAAGGTCTTTTTGTTGTTTAATCCATGATTTGTTACTCTGCCCAAGACTTTTCTGGCAGATAATCGAACCATGTTTTTCTTTCCTAATTCCTAAGTAGATTAGTTAGTTGTTTTTCTGTTTCCTATATATTTGCAGCCCTGTAATATGGACATGTAGGTCAGCTGGTAATTTTTACCATTCTTGCCCACCACCTTTGTAATCTGGAAAAATAACCCATGAACAACTCATGGTTTTAGTTTTGAGCATAATGAAAATTTAAAGTTCACAGCAGAACAACAAACCATGGGTTCTCTTACTGGTTGTTTGTCAGTAACAAACCAAGGTTCACTGAGATGGTCTCATCCACAATTCACAACAACCCAGATTTCTGTAACCCATATCATGAGTTAAACCTATCCTTTGTTGCTTTTGTTGCAACTGATTTAACTCAGGTATTACTCTAAAAATCCAAGGACACAATTTCCATCTAACTCAGGCTGTTCATGTACTGCTGCAATAGTTGTAGCAGTTCATCAAGGGGTGGAAGTTTTCTAGGACCAATTTCCATTACTCTTTGTCTGCCTGTCATTTCACGGCAATGAAGATTAGCTTTACCTAAGGTGCTTTACATTCTCTAGAAAAAGTTCATTCTCCACCTGTAAAGTGATACGTTCCTAGAAGCATAGGTCTTTCCTTATCCTTAGTTAACCTATAGGTAGACATATAAAACATAAACCAAAGAACCCTTCTAAAATTAAGTTTCCTTTTCAGAACACATAGAGCCACATAGAAAATAGCAAGCCAAAGTGTTTTTATTTCAAAGCATGGCAAGGCACTTTATTTTTAGAACTTTCTTATTGAGGAAAGAATTTCAGGCTGCTCTTATCTCTGCTAATAATAGTGCCTTGCTCAACTTATACAGCTACTGCATTACCACCCTGTTCCTTTCTTTAGTTAGGTCACATCCATAATTCCAGATTGCCTCCTGCTTCCTAGATTTACCTGGTTTTAAGATCCAGTAACTTTTCCTTGTAAGATCACAATGGTATTCCCAACTTTTTGAGTATTATTGTGAGGATTCTGTGAATTCCGACACCAATGCCATCTTGGTGTTTTGTGCAAATGAAATGGTTTAGAGAAGCAGTGACTTGAAGCAGCTTTCTACCTTGGGGTGTTTTATAAAACCACCCTTTTCAGGTCACATAATACAACAGGTGGATACAATTCCTCTGGGAATTACTGTCTTCATTAAGCATTATCTAAATCAATTGCTCATGTAGACCTTCCCTTCCTCCAACCCATTTATTTCTAAAATATTGGTTTAAGATGAACTATATTTGGATGTAACAGGAGGTTCCAGGATGGGGTGTGTGCAGTGTTGCTAGTCAAGGAAACACAAGTAGCTAATGCATTCTAGGATGAAGACCAGACCAACAGATTGGTCCTACAGAAAGGCAAAACAAAACAACACTGGATAACCTCTGATGCCAGAGCAGTTTACAATGTATAGTGCAATGCTACTCAAACCTTTACAGAAATAAGGCCCACTAAATTCACTGGGACTTACTCTCAGGCAACTCGGTACAGGATTGTAGCCTAATATATGGTACCAGTCAACTCTTAACATGAGTATCGATACTGAATTATTTCCAAATAATTGTTTCTTCTATATAATCTTGGATTATTTTCCGTACCTCTCATTTTTTCACCTAAGTTTTCTCTGACATCTGAATCCAGTGTTATGCAAATAGAGTTACATTGTGATGGGATTTACTTTTTCTCTCCTCCCATGTTCCCCACACCTCCTGCATGTCCCTAAAATCTGCTCTGGTGGGTTCTCCAATCCTTTGAGACTGGAAGTTGTATTTGGAGAAGGATGAATTTATTCCTGTTTACAGAAGGACACTGGTGGAAACAATCTTCTGATTTTAGGTGTACATGTTTGAATAAGAATGAATCTCATTTCATAAAGCTAAATATCTGTGAGATAATAATCTAAGACTGCACTTTTCTCCATGCACTCATACTTGGAGATAGAATGTTTCTGTCTGAGTAAACTTGAAGTTTGTGCTACCAGGACTTACCTCATTATCCGTTGTAGATGTTACTCAGTTGATAGGTTTGGTCCAAAGGCATACGTTGTAGTGATTGTAGTGGCAACTTCTAAATATGAATTTTAATATGGAATAGATGTCCTTAACACCTAGGCTGCATCCTGTGTGCCTATACTGGGACTTCCAGGTGTTTATTCATTGTGGCTTATTTATGAGAAAACATGTATAGCACATTTTATCACTCACAAAAGCAAGATCAGAACCCCCATTCTGCAATGTGGGGTAACTGGCATCCTGCAGCTCACATTCTTTACTGTAATTTACACATAAGTAGTCCTACAAGCTAGTCCTTCCATGAGATTGTCACCAAGGGCCTATTCTAAAACATGCCCAGATTTCAGGCTTCAGCCACTTTATGTTTATCTATATATCTGTATCTATAAAACAAAACATTCCCTGGGCACAAAAGTAATCCAGAATCTCCATAAGAATAGCTGTATGGACAACTCATATACTCCAAACGATAGGCCCCAAACAAGGTAACAAAAGATAATCTTGGTCTTCCTTTGACACTAAGATTGTTAAGTAAAACCTTCAGCAAATAGAATTAAAGTCCATTGAGGGAAAGCTTTGCTATGATTTTTTAAAGTTAGTGGTCCAAACTGTGCTTTGCAAACAAAGATCAATGGGCCAAACATAGTTATGTGGATTTTTTCATTTGTCATAGCTTTAGGAAAAATTAAACCTTAAAGGGGACCATTTTTATGCTGATTGAACTTTCTGGGGGAAAATTTCGGCCAGAACCAAGTCTTCATATGTAGCATTTTCTTTGCTTAAGGTATTTTGCCTGGGGTCAAAAATGATCTCAAAATGCAACTAAAGCTAGTTTTTTTGTTATTTCAGAAGGCTAATATGGGCAGAGCCACCATAGATAATAACTTCATCAGCTATATAATGTAATTGGCCTTGTTGGCTAAGAATGATGGAAGTTCCAGTCTAACACAGCTAGAAGGAACCAGATGTGGAAGGTTGCTTGAATTTAACATAAAATAGTGTAGGCACTTTCCCCCCTCTAAACATGGATAGGTTTGTGCTCTAACTTACTTCAGGTAAATATTCTCAAAAGCCATTCAACTTATGTTCCTCACATGTCTTCTGTTATGAAGAAATCCTCATGTCATCTGTCTGCTGACAGGAGGTCCACTTCAGCTATTACTATGACCAGGCCTATGTAGATCAGCACAGCAGTAATATGGAATTTGTCATATCTGTTCCCATGCATGGAGCCACTTCACAAGTTTCTCTATGTAGTTGCATTCCTGAGTGCATGAGCATAAGCCTAGCCAGTGACCTCCTTGGCTATGCCAGAAAATGGTGGCAGCATCCAAGTCCTACTAAGAACTTTCTCCATGAAGGCAGCTTGCATTGGAAAAGTCCTTCCATGACCCATTTTTGTTATTACATAGCGGCTTCATGAGAACCAAAAAGAGATCCCTAAAGGCAAGCTAATAGAAGTAGACATTTAGTGTTGCATAGAAATAACTTGGTGAAGTGTTAGTGAACTGCAAATTGTTGGGCAAAACATTTACCCTTTCTTTATCTAAATGGTCCATCTGTCCTTTTCAAGTAATGCATTCTGTAAGACTCATGGCAGGATCCAATGCTGCAGTGTAAATTCCAGGTCCGAGGGTATACTGTGTAGCAAACTTGCTGAAGCTAAGCAGGCCTTGGATCTGAACTGTGCTTGAACAGAACACGGCCTGGCCACTGCTTTGAGCTCTGTCTGAAGACAGATAATAAATGTATTTTAAAAATAATCTAGTCTATCTTGTTATAGCAAACAAAAGTCTGATTTTAAAGGAAATATCTTGACCACTGATAAAGGAGATCCCTGGCTATTCATAGGAAATACCTATCCACCAGATGATTTGAATAAGTTTATGGGCAATTTAAACTAATAACTCTCATGGAGGGGAGTTAATTTTGTGTGGACATGCAGCATAGAAGGATGTATTTCTGAGTAAGCATGCATGGAATGGCACTGTTACTTCTGGGAAAGGGGGCCTTCAATCAACATTTTGAATCCATGGGTTTCTTTGGAAATTTGTGCAGCTGCAGTGGTTGCAACCAGAAAATGGCTTTCTCGATGGATGTGGCAACATAAAATGGTAGCTTTATTTATTTATTTATTTATTTAACTTATGTTCCATGTTAATTAGTCCAAAGGACTGTCTAAGTGGACTACAGGAAAACAAGTAAGAGCAGCAATATGAGCAAAATATAAAAATTAAATAGCAGCAGTAAATCAAAAAATAACCATAAATGCATACCAATATACATTAGCATGTAAACATATAGTAACGATATTAAATAACAATATACAATAAAATATACAATATGCAGCTGGGAAATAAGGTATGAATAGGTTAAAACACTATGTTAATACTATGAAACAGTGTAAAACTATATACCTTAAACTTGAACAATATAAAGTCAGTTATTAAAATGTCTGGACAATTTAGGGCTTGGCTAGTCAAAACCAAGCCAGAGAGGTGGTGTAGGGAGAGAAACAGCCAAACTGGATGCTTAGAGGTTGTGAGGGAAGGGGAAATAGCAAGCCAAAGGTGTAGATAAGAGAGGCAGAAGAAGGCCAGAGGCGAGAAAGGGAGAAAGTGAAGGCTGCATTTCTAATATTTAGACTGCATTTCTAACATTGGCACTAATATTTCCAAGTCTTTTCTTAAACTTTTTTAAGGGAGCAGGAAGGGTAGAACTTTATGAGAACCATTAGAGGTAGCTAGGGGTGCTACAATGTGGATTACTGACATAAACAAAATCACATGTCAACAACCTTAACTGTTTAATCTGAACAGTGATGTTTCCTGCAGTTAACATACAATATTTCTCTTTTATTTAGTTGGAGAACACCAGCTGACAGGACATAAAGTTGCAGTCAAAATTTTAAATAGACAAAAAATTCGTAGTTTGGATGTGGTTGGGAAGATCAAGAGAGAAATCCAAAACTTAAAACTTTTCCGTCACCCTCATATCATCAAATTGTAAGTATGGCTGCTGCTATTCCTCTTGTTGCATATTGTATATCATAAATGTGTAGCAAGAAATAAGGATTAAATATGAAAGAGAACATCTTCCCAACGGTGCGAAAAGGAAGCTTCTTTATTAGAAGCTCTTTTGTCTAGAGAAAATAATAATTATACAGAAATAGGGATTAGACCCATTTCTACTATTAAAAAGCCCCCTAAGGGATACTATGGGATACTGACTCAAACAAAAAGGAAATGATAGAATCTGCAGCTGAAATACCAAGGCCAGAAAACCAAAGGTGAGCTAGGTAGTCGCTGAGAATCAGACAGTATCAGATTCTGGGGGAAAATACAGCATGGATAGTAATGCGTAGCAGGGTGGACATAACGTCATTAAGAAGGCTGCCATCCCTGGATGGCATAGGAAGAGGAGGAGTCTAAGACTGGTGGTTCACACTGTATCCCCAGATTCCATCCCACGCCTCTTTCATGGTACTTCAACATAGCGCCATGATGACACGCAAGGCTTGAGGTGGAGGAGACCATCAGCACCAGTATGACTCACAGCCTGTACTCCATTGGGAACGGAGTCCACTAGATCATGCCCTGAATGTGTTAAATTAGGTACTTCATAAAATGCTAGAGAAAGAAAGTGTGAGCAAGTGAAGGCAAATAGAGAACTTGGACCTTGAGAGACAGTAGGTAGGCAAGAAAGAAAAGGAGACAGAGAAAGAGATAAGGAAAGACAAGAAGAAGTAGCAAAAGGAAGAAGAGCCCAAGAAAGAGAAGCCACATCAAGTGCCACACACACAGGATACACAATCATGCAAGCACACACAGATAAAATATCGCTTTCAACCCCTATACATTTGTGGTGCTGCGCAGAATACTTTCCCAACTGCCTAAAGTGCCCATAGGCTGAAAAGGGTTAGGGACCCTTTAGACTGTAGGCTGTAAAGGCTGTTATCCAATAAGTAAAGAAAGCAATCCCACCCCACCCACCATTGTGAGTGACCCTGTGAACACACAGTCCTCTCTGGGCACAGGATTTTCATTCCATGGTTCATGTATGTAGTTAGAACTTAGGGTATAAACTTGCAGAAATATGCTAACTAGGTTCAGGCAACATGGCAACTAAAGTCAGGTTGAGCATGGATTGAACTGTGAGTTGTTGGAAAATGGGTTATTGTAGTGTTTGAACCCAGCTGACAAAACAAGTTCACAACCCAACAACAGCCCATGGGTTCTCTTCATTGATAGTTTGTGGTTAACACAGCTGGGTTCAGACAGCATAGTAACACACATTTCAATGACCCAGTATTTTGTGGCAACCCACATGAAATATATACTCAGTGGTTGACTGTGGGTTAGCATGTTGTCTGAATCCAGTCCAAAGCAAGCCTTTGTCTCTATTGTAGGTGGAAGCAACAGGCAGCTAAGGAAAGAGTGTGAACGTGTATGTTTCTTTCATTTTTGTTTTCAAATTGTTTTAAGTGGGGGGAAAGAGAGAGCAGCTTGCAAGTCTTGAACCTTCAGCCAACAGCTAATAGATGAGAAAGTTTTTCAGATTGTTTTCTTTATGATTTGGATATAACTCTAGGCTCTGTAAATTAATTTTTAGGATTTTAGACTTTGTAATTATGTTCTAAGGGTGAGGTCTATCTTTAGGCTCTGCAAGTTATCCTAATAATCAGAACAGTGGTTTTGCTCTGTTTATTATTATTCTTTGTGAAAAAAATCTCTAAAATCAAAAAATCAGACACACTTTGGAATACTATATGCTTCCATATGAATAAAGACTTTATTTCTTCTATTTTGCTCCCCTTGTCCCAGAGGTATTCCAACTAGCATCTGTGGGTTCCATCAATACATTTCAACCCAAAAAATACTCCATAGCCAAATTGAGAAACACCGAATTAGTCTTGGAGGCAATATTATAAAATATTGCTGTTCTGATCATTCGCATAGTAGATAACCTATGATGTATAGTTTAGACTTGGAATTCATTGTTAAGCAGATATATATCTTACCAATAGTCCATATATCTGGTATAAATTCTGAGTTGTGTGTAAGAATTCGATGCATGATTGGGAAATTCCTTGAACAAAGCACTTGAAAACATGACCTAGATGTTCTGGCACTCTGAGACCACATTAATCTAAAAATAGATCTTTATGTCTAGGCATAATTGGTTTGTTTATTGAGAAGGTTTGTAGCATCATTTGTATGACAAAATCCTTGGTTAACCAATTGAATGTTCTGGATAGCAGCCCTTGTCCATGTGCAGAAGTGAATTCCTGGCCAAAGTAATACAAGTAATACTTCTCTATCTGCTTGCGGCTTTGGAATTCAGATTGACCAGGTTCTGCTATTATTTCAGTCTGGATGTCATCTGATCTTTTTACAGTCCTATACATACCTCTCAAAAGTAAACCTCATTGCATTCAATGGACTTACTCCCAAGTAAGGATGTATAGGGTTGCAGGCTGCCTTAGACATACTCATGCCTGCCTAGCCAAAGCGGAAATTTGAAAAGAGAGCTCGTCCTAAATGATGTAAGATTATTGAGAAGAGATTCCAGAGTATTAAGTGAGTTTAAGTGGAAGAGGGAAGGTTAATCTATCGTACAAGCCTAACAGGGCCTGGAGGTTATATCATAACAAATGCAATCAGTATCTTCATCTGAATATGAAAAAATAACACAAGTTAAATCTAATGCTCATTTTAAGTGCAGCATTAGATTAGTAAATGGTTGTAAACCTTGTTTTGTTTTAGTGGAGAAGACTTTTCAGATAAGAAATTATATTGTTTCCCCATTTCTATAGGTACCAGGTCATCAGCACACCAACAGATTTTTTCATGGTAATGGAATATGTGTCTGGTGGAGAATTATTTGATTACATCTGTAAGCATGGACGTGTAAGTGGCTTTATCCAGTAGGGATAAATGTGTGCGTGGGAGAGAAGAGAACAGTCCTGGGAACTGGCATGCTTTGCTAAGTGTGAGTCTTTTAAGGTAATTAAAGCCAAAAATAGATGTAGCTTCATCAGAGCCCCATCCAGAATGCCTTGCAACTGGGCTGACACCATGATGGTATATTGTCTTCTACGCAACTATTCTGTACAGTGCCAAGATTCTGCTCAAATTATGTAATATTTTAATAAATATGAGTGACAAGCAGTAGCAACCTGCCTGACTCTCTAGACTTTCAAGCCCTTGTACTTAAACCATCTCCTCTGGAATGCTGCCACTTGACCTTTGTCAAAGTTCTTCAGCAAAACTGATATGTTCAGACATCTGTGCCTCCTATTGTGGGTGTCCATTTCAGATAATCTTAGGCATTCATTTGTTGTGGTGGTATAGTTTGGTGATAATTATCAGTTAGTGCTATAATTGTCCAGCAAAGACAATGATCGCCCAAATGTCCTGCAGTGCAAGGAAGAGTTCAAGCTAAAAAGAAGTTTGAATCTGTAAATGCACGTTTTACTGCTGATCAGCACAATTCATGGATGAACACAGGGCTTATTTTTCTTGCTCAGATTGTTTCAGGTTTTTCTGGAATAGAGCTGTTTACAAATGTGCATATTTAGAATCCAAAACCTGTGTGAAAGAAGTAATAGTAAATAGATTTAATTTATATAGCACCAGTTTACAGGTTGGCAGGTCATCATTTGCTTTTTCTTTAAATCTTTAGGAAGGTATTAGCAAAGTTGAAATGCTCTCTGCTACATATAGTATAACTGGCACCTCACCATGAGAACTTCATGTAATGGAATAGTAAAGTTGTTGTGCCCAGTAGTCTTACAGTTTCCTAATTTGGTCCACTGTTCTTAATTTTCTGAAAAAATGATTATTAAAATCTGCAATATAACCATATGTACTATAGAAAGATGTAAGGTATACACAGTCATTTAGATTATGGCATCACTGTGATTAACCAATGACTCTCACCAGTTGAGACCCAAGTACAGTTTAAAATTAGGACTCCATCTGTGAACAGAACAAGATGAGTCTGGTTTTGGCATAACTTTTGGGATGGAACAGGCTGAGACCACAGTGTGAGCGGTTCTAGCCTAATCTATTGTCTGTGGAGTTCCCTTCCTTGCGGGAATTGCACTTTAGGTAAAACAAAGCACTCAGTATTCTACCATGTCTAGTTAAAACAAGTAAGTACAGAAGGGCAGTTGAGAGAGCCAGCGTGGGGTAGCGCGCAAGCATGCTGGACTGGGACTCAGGTGATCTGAGATCCAGTCCCTGCACAGCCATGAAGCCCACTGGGTGATTTGGCTCCAGTGACTGCCTCTCAGCCTAGCCATCTTCACAGGGTTGTTGTGAGGATAAAGGAAGAAAGAGGAGGAGAAATGCCCATTAATACTAATTATCATTACATCCATACCCTCCTTGTGAGTGTGCAGCACAGAAGAGAGGAGACCACATGAACCCAAGCTTGTGCAGGCTCGTTCCCAGGACCAGTTAGAAAAGTTGCATCTGAGCCAGGCCAACAAGCGACCTTCCATCCACAGTCCGGCACACACCTGCCTCATTCTGCTGTAGATCCATGTGAGGGATCTTGAGCAGGGCTGGCTTCAGTGGAGCCCCTTTTCGTCACTGCAGTGACAGCTGCCTGCTCACTTCCCAAGGAGAGAGCCGGAGATGGGTGTCTGAGCCGCGGCTTTGCTGTCAAGGCCACTCCATTACTCACCCCTTGAGGCTGGATGAGTCTGGCTGAGTGAGCAAACCAACTGCAGCATGATGACCAGCAGTGGCCCTTGCAAGGCTAGGTTCTTGGCAGATGTTCAGCTGTACCAACCCCGGATGATGGCCCTCAGTGTAATCTCAAGAAAGTGAGATGATGAAGTCTCTCCCCACGGCTTCCCCACTGCTCTTTTGCAGCCACTGGCACCCTTGTGTTGCTGTTGATGAGGAGGGAATAAAGCGAAGCGCTATCAGGACAGTGTGTGAAACAAGGGCAAGTTTGTCCCTGTTGCAGGGATTTTGGGAAAAGAACTGCCAAGGGTTATCTGTTACCTGTTATCTGTAGCAGAGGCATGTCTCAAAGTAATTAGTTGAACATTTGCTTGGCTAAAACAGTATAATTTAAAAGCTTGCAACTGCCTTAATTATGAAAGATGAGGTGGAATGAAATATCTCCTGGGGTGGTTCGTCTCCATTTGTTTGTTCATACATTTAGTGTTGTTTTCTGTAATTTGGTCTCTTGAGCCTCACAAGGGTCCTTTCAGACAGACCATGTGTGTTGTTTCCCTTCCTGTGCATTTTTGTAGGTGGAAGAGGCTGAAGCTAGACGTCTTTTTCAGCAAATTCTGTCGGCTGTGGATTACTGCCATCGGCATATGGTGGTTCACAGAGATCTGAAACCAGAGAATGTGCTGCTGGATGCACACATGAATGCCAAGATAGCCGATTTTGGTATGTGACCCCAGCAGCATTTTGGTATGTGACCCCAGCAGCATTCCAGAAATGTAACCACGACACTTGCAGCATGGTGGACAGGCTTACATCTCTCAAAGAACCTCGAATCGATTTTCATCACCATTAGCAGTTTCTGTCCAATGTGAAAAGCTTCCGTGGTTGAAAATGTTGTCCTTGTCCTCTGCAAACTGGTAGTTGAAATGTCACATGGCTGGATATGCTTCTGTAACCCTTGTACCACATGTTCTTGTACAGCAAATGGGAGCTTTCAGAGGAAAGGGTCTTAGCCTAGCTATTTCCCTGATGTGTAGCTTTCTCTGTAAGCAGTTTTGTTTCTCTCATACGAGGACCACTGGTTGCTATGAATGTCCACCTGCAGCTTGAAAAGGAACAGTGTGGACACAAAGTTTTCACCTCATCAGGAACTAGATGGTGGACTCTCCAGGAGAGGAAGGACTTTCCAACTTTATATCTAAATCAATATAAAATAAACATCCTTCACAAAATGATTCAAGTTATTATTTAGTGCATTTCTGCCACTGGCTTCCTGCTGTTGCACCAGGTTTCAGACAGAGTGCATCTTTGCTTTCATTTCTCGGTCTCACTGGCTGCAGCCCTGCCCCTCCCAGCAGAGAGGATCGGATACAAGGGACTTTGCGTAGTATGGATACCAGCATCAGGGTAGGCACACAACATGTTGCGTCAGGCACTGAAACATGAGGCCCTTCTCTCCCTGTAGGAGATCCAGGAGCCTGCTGCTGTGTACCCTGTGCGCACAGAGCTTACTTCTGACTCCTTGTGTGAGTAACCTGGATGCAAAAGCCTGTTGAAAGATGCTAACTTCTCCATATAAGTTGCTCAATGCTTCACGAAGCTGGTTTCCAACATGAAGCAAACCTTTATGGACAACCTTTCTGCCTTGTCGGAAATGATTTCTTAAGAAAGAAATATGACACAATTCTGAGGATCTTTTAAATTTGTTTTACTTTACTATTCCTTGCTGCACCCCCACCCCCTCCTAGTGTTCCCCTTTTAGCAGTGCCTAACCTTTGGCTTCGTTTGGGTATGTCAACATTTGAGAGTCTTCTCTTTTAGGACTGTCCAACATGATGTCTGATGGTGAATTCCTGCGAACCAGCTGTGGCTCACCCAACTATGCAGCACCAGAAGTCATCTCTGGAAGGTAGAACCTGAAGCCAATGGAGAACACTTTGAACAAAGACATGCTTTTGAAATGGGAATTATGGTCACTTATGGAAACAGATAATGGTCATAGACAGCTGCAGAAAAAGTAGTCAGGGCAGATGTCAGAAACTGACCAGTGGAAAGAAACTCTTCATTTCCATTTGGCTGCACAATGACATATCCATACATTTCTAAGTAGCTAATTCTCAAAAGAGCTCAAGTGCCAGCGTTTGTTAGTGGTGTTTGGAGAATATGGAGGAGGAAAGATCAGCTGGGACAGCTTCAGGCTGTTCCAGAAAGTTGGATAGACTGTAAGTGATAGCAGCCAAAAGAGCAGGAAAGATGTGATCATTACAAGATGCTTTTCCAGCTGTCATTTTGATTGAAAGTGGGGTGCCTTTTGGGTGGTTCTGTCAGCCTTTCCCAGTAACCCAGGATGTGCTTTGGAACTGCAGTGGTCAAGGGAGGAACCGTAATTCAGTGGTAGACCACGTGTTTTGCATGCAGGAGTTCCAGGTTCAGTCCTGACCATCTTTAGGTATGGTGGGAAAAACTCCTCGAGTACCTCTGCCTGCCAGTGTTTACAACATTGGCTAGATGAGCCAGTGATCTGATTTGGAATAAAGTAGCTTCCTATGTACCCTCTTAAGGAACTGACTGATCGATGATTCCTTTTGTTCAGATTGTATGCTGGCCCAGAGGTTGATATTTGGAGCTGTGGCGTGATTCTCTATGCTCTTCTCTGTGGGACTCTTCCTTTTGACGACGAACATGTCCCAACTCTGTTTAAAAAAATCCGTGGGGGTGTTTTCTACATTCCTGAATACCTCAATCGTTTAGTTGCCACTCTTCTCATGCATATGCTTCAAGTGGATCCACTCAAACGAGCAACCATCAAGGACATACGGTACAGTCTGGTACCCAATTCTGGCATGCCACCTAGCAACATTTTTTGAGTGGGAGAAGAATAGGATCATTTCAGGAACTCATCCAGCATATTATTTTGATACCAAATGGAGAGTGATGGAGTAGCTTTGATGTGGGGGAAAACTGGTAGTCTGGGAAATATAGTACAAATACATGGCATTATTGTGCAGTTCTCTATATTGATACATTGACATAACATTAACTTATGTTTTATTAAACGCTACCCAGAGTTTTCTTGCAGACAACAGAACAAACCATAATATGCTTTCTTAAACATTGAGCTGCTTGCATTCATCTTACTTTGCCTGCTCCCTCCCTGTTTCCTAAATGCTTTTGCAGCATTGTTGCATCTGTGTGCACAGCTGCTGGTATTTTTGGCCACTCTTGTTCTTTGTACCCTGATGAAACAAGCAATGAACCACAGTTCCAGGTTCACATGTAACAATAACCCAAAGTGTACAACCCAACAATAAACCATGAGTTCTCCTTCTGGGTAATTTGTTTTGTAGTAAACCATGGCTTGGTAGAATGGCTGGA